ATTTGTCAAGTAAAATATTTTATTTGTTTTTCTATTGTGCTCCTGGAGGCTATTACACACACACTTTTCATATATTCTTCTTCTAATACTGAAGAGTACGTTGAGTGAATAGAGTAGCTTTTTTTGTGCTACTAAAGAATATACAAAGCAAATAGTTTGTCTGTTCAAAAGTATAGAGCAGGCATAGGCAACCTTTGGCACTACAAATGTTTTGGACTACAACTCCCATGATGCGTTGCCAGCATTATGGGTGTAAAAGCATTATGGGGGATGTAGTACACACGATCTAGAGTGCCGAAGGTTGCCAACCCCTGGTATAGAGAGTCTGTTACACGATGAGCTCTTCTGTGATTACATATTATTAGAGGTCTATACACTGGTGGGCCACAACATTAAAACCACTGACAGGTGAAGTGAATAACATTGATTATATTATTACAATGACAACTCTCAAGGCATGGGATAGTGTATAATCAGTTCTTGAATTTCACGTATTGGAAGCAGGAAAAATGAACAAGCCAAAAGATCTGAGTAACTTTGACAAGGGCCAAATGGTGATGGCTAGACAACTGGGTCAGAGCATCTCCAGAATGGAAAATCATGTGCTCCCTATATGCATTGGTTAATACCTATGAAAAGTGGTGCAAGGAAGGACAAGCAGTGAATCGGTGTCAGGACCATGGGCGCCCAGGGCTCATTGATGCACATGGGGAGCGAAGGCTAAGACTAGTCTGATCACAGAGAAGAGCTACTTTAGCTCAAATTGCTGAAAATCGTAATGCTGGCTATAATAGTAAGGTGTCAGAACACACAGGGCATTACAGTTTTCTGCGTATAGGGGCTGCATAACTACAGACTGGTCAGATGGTCAGAGTTCCCATGATGACCCCTGTCCTCCATCAAAAGCAAATTCAATGGAGACATGATCATCAGAACCGGACTATGGAGCAATGGAAGATGGTTGATTAGTCTCATGATTCACGTTTTCTTTTAGATCAGGTGGATGAGTGTGCATCATTAACGTGAAGAAAAGATGGCAGCAGAGAACTCTATGGTAATAAAGCAGGATGGCAGAGGCAGTGCTATGCTCTGGGCAATGTTTTGCTTGGAATCTTTGGATCCTGGCATTAATGTGCATGTTACTTTGACATGTACCACCTACATAGAAATTGTTGCAGACCATGTACACACCTTCATGGCGTTGCCTTGGCCTCCAAATAGATCTCAATCCAATTGAGCATCTGTGGGAAATGCTTGAACAACAAATCCAATCCAACTTGCAACTTGCAGGATCTGCTACTAATATCTCGGTGCCAGATGCCACAGGACACATACAAAGGTCTTTTGGAGTCCATGCTTCGATGCATCAGAGTGGTTTTGGCAGTACGAGGGGGACCTACACAATATAAGACAGGTTGCAGTAATGTTGTAGTTGATCAGTGTGTGTTTTAATAAACTACTGGGCAGTATCCCAGAGAAAAAGTTAATTTATTATTTTATGCAGTTGGAGAGTATGTTGTTAATAGTTTATCTGTTTTTCTCAAGTTCTTTTGGAGCGTATACCAGTTAGATAGTTCATTGATTCTTCGAATATGCTATTGGGGTGTATGCCGTGCGAATAGTTAATCTGTTATTTTATTATGCTACTGTTAAGAAGTCAAACTGTTCTAAAATGGTTTGACTTGCTACAATGGGAAACATGCGGGCAATTCTGGCACAATAACCACTTTAGTGAGCTGCAGTGGTTATTGTGCTAGGAGTTTTTATTGCATGATATTTTGAAATATTTATTTGCTGTTGGAGGGTGGAGGATGTTGTGACTAGTTTTTAATTTTTCCTAAAGTCTAGAGAATGCCGGTTGGATAGTTCATCCATTCTTCTAATATGCTATTAAGGGTACGCCAAGGGAATAGTTTGTCTGTTATTTTATAATGCTACTGGAAAGTGGGCCCTTAATTGCTACAGTATGAATCCGTGTGCAGTGACGTCAAGATATTTACGGTCATTGCCAAAAATATGCGTTTGATGAGATAAGGAAGAAGACAAATAGTCTATTGTATTGTCATTTCGAAGACTGGAAATTTCTGCTGGTCAGTGTGACACAAATCCAAGAAAATGATTGTTTACAAATGTTTTATTTTTCTTATTGCTTGCCAGATACTTATAAATATTTTAATTTCATTTACGTTTGCCTCCAGTAACACATTTTTCTATAAATATTATACAGATCTGCTAATTATTATATTATAGCAATACATAAATCTAACTGTTGCTGTTAATGGAATACAATGACGTTTATATATTTATAAAATATTTGTAAATATTAAATGTTTAACATTATAACACCAGGTATTTTCCAAATCAGTGATATGCAAATTCAATTTGAAATAAGGACTTTTTGGGTTACAGAATATATCTATTAAGTAGATAATAGTGTCCAGCTTGTATATTTGAGGATATTATTGGGGAACACCATTATGATCACCCCTAAATGACTATAGGAAGGCGATGAAGTGGAATATTATAAATCTGTCACCCCAAAGAAAATGTTAAGTACATTATCATAGGCTGGTATTTATAATTTAGATTGATGACAGCTATGTTTGCCTCACTGCAACCATTTTATATCTCTGACAAACAGGGGATGTTCATATAAACATTTATATTATGTGATATGATGAAGGCATTTAATCTACTTTTTATATTTCCAAAGATAAAAGTGGAGTAATAGGAATTGCTTTCTCCCATCTTTCCTCTGTGTCTCTGAAAATAAGAAATGGGCCAGATTTGGGAACACGCATGAAATAATTTGAACAGCAGCTGGATTTGGTTGGATTGTGTTCCTTACAGTGGGCATATTACAGTTGGGAGACAGTGGGGAAGAACGGAGGCAGTTGGGTCACTATGAATGTCACTAAACATCTATTAAGTAATTGAGAACAAAAATATGTTGGAGGGTTCTGGATGGACCATTTAGCATAAGGACAGTGTCAGGAAGCAGGAGGCCGGGTGATGGGGAATGACACTAAGTATCCCCTTTATATACCTCCATACGTTGGATGTAATTGAGTCAGTGGGTAAGTAGACACAGGACTAGAACATGGAAACATGAATGGCAATTGATTTTACCCGTTTTTGGTGAATTTCAGTAAACTATGCACACTCATTAATAACAGAAAAAAACACTGAATATCAATGTATTTCAAGGGAAATAAGTTGAGTTCCATTACACTATTGGACTGATAGAACTGATCTATTTGAAAGGGATGGCTTGGAATAATTTTGTTTAAACCTCAAGAAGATACAAGTGTTGTAAGTACACCTCAGTTAACTCCTGTTTGTGCTGGATTGCACATTACAATTTCACATAAGGAACATAACATGGTAATAATACTCCCAGTAAGTGTGTAACAGAGCTCCACAACAATAATACTTCTAGTAATGTGTCTGAGTGTATAACAGAGCTCTACAGCAATAATACTCCCAGTAATGTGTCTGAGTGTATAACGGAGCTCTACAGCAATAATACTCCCAGTAATGTGTCTGAGTGTATAACAGAGCTCCACAGCAATAATACTCCCAGTAATGTGTCTGAGTGTATAACTCTACAGCAATAATACTCCCAGTGTCTGAGTGTATAACGGAGCACAGCAATAATACTCCCAGTAATGTGTCTGAGTGTATAACAGAGCTCCACAGCAATAATACTCCCAGTAATGTGTCTGAGTGTATCACAGAGCTGCACAGCAATAATACTCCCAGTAATATGTCCTCCCCCCGGCCCCCACCCCTGAGCGGTGGGTGGGGGCCCTAAATACTCATTAGGGTGGGTGGGGGCCCTAAATTAGAATGAGGGCGGGACCTAATGTCCTTCCCCCTGGCCCCCATCCCTGAGCTGTGGGTGGGAGCCCTAAATATTAACAGGGGGGGACTTAATGTCCTCCCCCCTGGCCCCCACCCCTGAGCGGCGGGTGGGGGCCCTAAATACCAATAGGGGGGACCTATTGTCCCTGAGCGGCGTGGGGGCCCTAAATAAAAAGTTAACCCCCTCCTCCCCAGATGACTAGGGGTCCCCAACCTCTAGTCACTCCCCTCCCCCAAAAAGTTAACCCCTACCTACCTCCCTCACCCTAAAAATAGTGAGGGGGGACCATTAGCTAAACTTGTTAAAAAATAAAATAAAACTTACCATTTGATGTTTTCTTTCTTTTAAAATCTTATTTTTTCAGCCCCCAAAAAGGCCAAATAAAAAGCCATAATAACTGACGCACTTTAAAAAAAAACGAAAAAAAAAAAACGAGTGCAAATTTTTTTTATCCATCTTCACCGGGCGAGGGCTCCGCACAGATTGAGCTCTGCAGCTAAGCTCAGAGCACTCTGATTGGTGGGTTTAAGCCATCCAATCAGAGTGCTCTGACAGGTAAATGAAGACATTTACCTGTCACAACACTCTGATTGGTTGGCTTGAAATCCACCAATCGGAGTGCTCTGTGCCATTTTACACAGCGTGGGAAAGTTCTTTGGAATTTTTCCACACTGTGTAATTTGACTCGTAATTTAGTAATTTAGAGAACTCTCCAATTGGTGGATTAAGTAACCAATCAGAGTGTTATGAGTCAAATTACACAGCGTTGGAAAATTTGAAAAAACTTTCCCACGCTGTGTAAAATGACACAGAGCACTCTGAGAGGTGCATTTCAAGCCAACCAATCAGGGTGCTGTGACAGGTAAATGTAGAGACTTACCTGTCAGTCTCTTCATTTACCTGTCAGAGCACTCTGACTGGATAGAAACATAGAAACATAGAATGTGAAGGCAGATAAGAACCATTCGGCCCATCTAGTCTGCCCAATTTTCTAAATACTTTCATTAGTCCCTGGCCTTATCTTATAGCTAGGATAGCCTTATGGCTATCCCACGCATGCTTAAACTCTCTCACTGTGTTAACCTTTACCACTTCAACTGGAAGGCTATTCCATGCATCCACTACCTTCTCAGTAAAGTAATACTTCCTGATATTATTTTTAAACCTTTGCCCCTTTAATTTAAGACTATGTCCTCTTGTTGTGGTAGTTTTTCTTCTTTAAAATATAGTCTCCTCCTTTACTGTGTTGATTCCCTTTATGTATTTAAATGTTTCTATCATATCCCCCCTGTCTCGTCTTTCCTCCAAGCTATACATGTTAAGATCCTTTAACCTTTCCTGGTAAGTTTTATCCTGAAATCCATGAATCAGTTTAGTAGCCCTTCGCTGAATTCTCTCTAAGGTATCAATATCTTTCTGAAGATACGGTCTCCAGTACAGTGTACAATACTCCAAGTGAGGTCTCACCAGTGTTCTGTACAATGGCATGAGCACTTCCCTCTTTCTACTACTAATACCTCTCCCTATACAACCAAGCATTTTGCTAGCATTCCCTGCTGCACTATTACATTGTCTGCCTACCTTTAAGTCATCAGAAATAATCACCCCTAAATCCCTTTCCTCAGATGTTGAGGTTACGACTCTATCAGATATTCTGTACTCTGCCCTTGGGTTTTTATGTCCAAGATGCATTATCTTGCACTTATCCACATTAAATGTCAGTTGCCACAATTCTGACCATTTTTCTAGTTTACCTAAATCATTTGCCATTTGGCTTATCCCTCCTGGAACATCAACCCTGTTACATATCTTAGTACCATCAGCAAAAAGATATACCTTACCATCAAGACCTTCTGCAATATCACTAATAAAAATATTAAAGATAATGGGTCCAAGTACAGATCCCTAATGTACCCCACTGGTGACAAGTCCAAGCTTCGAATATATTACATTGACTACAACCCTCTGTTGCCTGTCACTCAGCCACTGCCTTACCCATTCAACAATATTGGAAACCAAACTTAAAGATTGCAGTTTATTGATAAGCCTTCTATGTGCAACAGTGTCAAAAGCCTTACTGAAATCTAGGCAAGCAATGTCTACTGCACCACCCTGATCTATAATTTTAGTTACCCAATCAAAAAAATCAATAAGATTAGTTTGGCATGATCTCCCTGAAGTAAGCCCATGTTGTCTCTGATCTTGAAATCCATGTGTTTTTAGTTGTTCAACAATCCTATCCTTTAACATGGTTTCTATCACTTTTCCCACTACTGAAGTAAGGCTTACTGGCTTATAGTTGCCTGACTCCTCCCTCTTACCTTTCTTGTGAATGGGCACAACATTCGCTAACTTCCAATCTTCTGGGACTACTCCTGTTAACAATGATTGGTTAAATAAATATGTTAATGGTATTGCTGATGGCTTAAACCCACCAATCAGAGTGCTCTGAGCCTAATTGCAGGGTGGGGCAAGGCTTTATAAGCCTTACCCCGCCCTGCAGAGCTCAGTCTGCGCCGAACCCCCGCCGGGTGAAGATGGATAATTTTCTTTTGCGCTTGTTTTTTTTTAAAGTGCGTCGGTTATTATGGCTTTTTATTTGGCCTTTTTGGGGGCTGAAAAAAAGAAGATTTTAGAAGAAAGAAAACATCAAATGGTAAGTTTTATTTTATTTTTTAATAGGTTTTGCTAATGGCCCCACCTCACTATTTTTAGGGTGAGGGGGGTAGGTAGGGGTTAATTTTTGGGGGAGGGGTGACTAGGGTTTGGGGACCCCTGGTCACCTGGGGAGGGGGGGTTAAGTTTTTATTTAGGGCCCCCACCCGCCGCTAAGGGAGGACATTGGGTCCCCCCCTAATTGGTATTTAGGGCCCCCACCCACAGCTATGGGGTGGGGGCCAAGGGGGAGAACATTAGGTCCCCCCATTCTAATTTAGGGCCCCCAACCACCGCTCAGGGGTGGGGGCCAGGGGGGAGGACATTAGGTCTCCCCCCCTAATTAGTATTTAGGGCCCCCACCCACCACTCAGGGGTGGGGGCCATGGGGGAGGACATTAGGTCCCCCCTCATTCTAATTTAGGGCCCCCACCCACCGCTCAGGTCCCCCCCATTCTAATTTAGGGCCCCCAACCACCGCTCAGGGGTCGGGGCCAGGGGGGAGGACATTAGGTCCCCCTATTTGGTATTTAGGGCCCCCACCCACCGCTCAGGGGGGATCTGTTGGTGCTATATAAATGGCAATAATAATAATAATAATAATAATAATAATAATATTAATAATAATTTATTATGTTTTATAAGAAAAAATGCTATTAAATTGTTAATTGTAAAAATTATTCAAATCACCTATATTTGCATTCAAATTCATTTTGAGATTAAGATACCGTTTACAATCCAAAGTTAAATGCATAACCCTGTATGTTTTTAAGTACAAATATTTATTTGTTAGTTATTTTGCAATTCCCATTACCTAATTTGAATTGTTTACAATTATTTTGTTGAATCTGTTTTGTCATTATAGTTTATTTAATTTCAGAGGTTAACCAGCAACTGTTTCCCTTTATCCCAAAGAATACACTGTCAGTATTGTAAATATTTTACTTCCCATACCAGGATTCTGAAAAAAATAATAATCATAACAATAACTTATAACATAAAATATATCAACTGAACCATGCTTTGTTTTAATAGATTTTTACATTTGCAAATAAAGCAATGGTTTTATGCTACATTTTTATTTTTCAATTCTTTATTTGTAAAAGATATTTGTGGGTGGTGGGGGGGGGGATACAGAAAGGAAGATAGGTAGTTAGATTGTTTTGTACAAGTTTGCATTACCATCATTTCTGTTACAAATTGGATTAGCGTTTCCGTTGCCTGTAGCGGCTGTTGGTCAATGGTTTCTGCATTTATACATAGCCTGTAAATTTAAACATCGGTGTTGACGCTATTCGTCTTCTGTCCTCTACCTTGGGATGGGGGAGAGGGTACAAAAATGAAAGAAGGGTTGGGATTGGGGTGCTATCTCATCGTCTAATTTTGCTCTTGATTCGGGTAAGGTGCAGTTCCCTTTCCCTCGTACATTTTCTTACCCCTTTTTGGGGGGGGTGTTTATGCTACATTTTTAAAAGTTAAGATATCACGTTAAATAATAGTAAAGTCATTTATTGGGGTGGGGGGCCTTAAGTGGCAAAAGAGGAGGATCTACTGTGGATCTACTGTCTCCCCCCTATGGCCCCCACCCATGGGCTGCAGGTGGGGGCTCTTAAATGACAAAAGGTGGAAAACCTACTGCCCCCCCCCAACCCCCACCCAGTTGGGGGTCCAGGTCATACCCTCCAAAAAATACAATTCTAACGACACAATCACTCTAATAATAGTGAGGGAAAAGCATTAAACTAATTACCTTCTTATTTCAAAAATCTTATTTTCTTCAGCCGCAAAAAAGGCCAAACTAAAAACTAGAGACTGGTCACCTATGGGGCCTGCAAAATAAATAGCTCAGGTCCCCTTCATGTCCCCCCTTGTAAATTAGGTTGGGTCTTAAAATTCAATAATGGGGAGATGGACAGGTCACTGCTAAATTCCCCACATCACTCCTGAAGGTCCACACTCACTGTCATCCATGTGATATCTACAAGATAAATAATAAATAGTGAATCTTTATTACATAGCAAAGTATAACATAACAATGTGATCTTCCCTATACGATCGCAATTGAAGTTGGATAATTCACTACACACCCCTCTAAAAGCGAATTTTCCTTAAACCCACTTACCCTGACCAAGCTGCTCCAACGTAGAGGGGCCGACCGCTATAATTTTGGATGTCTCGACGCCTTCAGCAGTGCAACCTGGGAGGCAAACCGGTCGGGAGAGAGGCGCCCGATCTCCTGGCCCGGTGCATCCTGAGCCCCAGCAACTACAAGCAGTGCCCCGTTTCCTCCCCCTTTGGACTGGTGCGGGTGATCCCTGTCCACCCCTAGGAGACTACCCAGCGGGAAGGGCCCAACAGGTGTTGCCAAGTATGCAGGCGACCGATAGGGAGACAATCAACATGGCGGAAGCCACGTGCTTACCTGACCATGGCTATCAGCAGCCTGACTACATGTCCAAGTTGGACCACTTCTTTGCCAACTTCTGGAGGAAATAGCTTAGGATGCTACAGGCTGAGGTACCAGAGTCGAGTGACCCCTTACCTAAGCCAGCGCAACCACACCGCCACCGCAGGCTGCTGGTTTACAAGGCAAGGAAGTCCAGAAAAGGGCACCAGGGCGAGCAGCACCTCCCGACAGCAACAAGCCTATACCACCGACTCTGGGCACAGCAGCTGGTCGGCACCTCAAGCGTCTGTCCCACTCTCTGCTTCGGCTCGTATCATGCTCTCCATGGAAGGTTGCAAAACCTGCGGGTAAACCAACTGCAACATGGCTACATCTCCTGCACACCACTGCACTGAGGGGCCTTAAAAATCTCTCCACATGGATGGCCTGCATTTCTGGACCTCTGTGCTCGATGCATATTTCACAGAACCAACATACTGTTAAGCCACAGAGGGGTATTGGCTGAATCACGAATGGGACTTAATTCATCAGACAGGTTTCACCACAGCCATACTCGGATTGTCATAGCATTACCCTCTTTTATTCTCCTCCCATTAGGCATCTAACATTCGTAGGCGTGCGCAGCCTATTGTATAAGGGTGTGCACCCTAAAGCAGAAACACACACGCCGCGTATATATATATATATATATATATATATATATATATATACATATATACACATTCACATACATACAAGGGTGCTGTGTGTGTGTAGGTGCTGTGTGTGTGCAGGTGCTGTGTGTGTGGGCGCACTGTGTGTGTTAAGGCGCTGTGTGTGTGTGTGGGCGTGTGTCTGTGGGCGTACTGTGTGTGTGAAGGTGCTGTGTGTGAAGGTGCTGTGTAATATCCCCCCTCCCTTCTTACCTTATGTAGGGAGGGGGGACTGTGCTCCTGCCTTCCCTGGTGGTCCAGTGGAGAGTGAACTCTAGCCCCCTGTGGGGCTAGAGTTCACTCTTGCGAGATCTAAGCGTTGCTGTGGTACCTGCGGCAACGTTCCGACTGCATGAGAGGAACCCGGCGGAGCTGCTGGCAAGAGCTCCCTGGGTCCTCTCCTGCCTCCCTCCCTGCCTTTGATCTCCCTCACTGGCCCACGGAGGGAGGCACATAGCGCATGCCGCAGGGATTAGGGTGTGCCTAGGCACACCCGGCACACCCCGTGCGCACGCCTCTGCTAACGTTAAATGGGCTTCTTATGCATGTGAACTTCACAATTTGGTAATCAATTTGGGGTCTCCTGGGTGTTCTAAAC